TGGAAGTACTGTTGCAGCTCCGGGCCCATATCACCTCTCAGGATCTTTCTCAGGCAGATGAGATCTCCCATGAGGCATCGATACACAATGGGGAACAGACCAGTAGCCTGTAAACGACCTTCATAGCTGGTCCCGCGTAGTCCAACAACGAGTCTAGTGGCAGCAAGTTGTACACGCTCCAACTTATCCAGTTCACCGGCCGTGCAGGGGTATATCACCGCACCGCCATACTCAAGTGTTGGTCTGACATGGGAAGCGTACAGCAGCCTGAAATCGTCCATCGTGAGCTGGTTAAAAGACCGCCGAATAGGCCCTAGAACGCTCTATGCGCTAGCGCAGACCCGATTGGTGTTTTCTCGGGTCTTTAGTGATGACGTAACCATAATACCCAGATCTCGTTCGCACGATGTTCTGCGCAATGTGGTTCTCTGGAAGTTGTAGACTACGTCAGAGTCAGCATGCCCCGAATGCAGGTGAGCACACTTTGTTGTGTTGACTGGAAGAGCCCAGGTGTCCGCCAACTGAATCAAGTTGTTCAAATCCGCCTGAAGAGAATTTCGATCATTCGGATCCTTGATTGTACGTCAGATTTTGATGTCATTCGTATACATGGGGGATGGGCTGCACAGTTGATCGGGCAGGTCGTTCATATATACTGCAGAGGGCAATGGACTAATAACCGAGCCTTGGGGGACCGCACTGGGAGCAGAATGCCACGCACAGAGCGATTTGCCAACACGGACGCAGAATTTCCGGTCGATGATGAAGTCTTGCAGCCAATTACGCATGACCACAGCTACACATAGGTTGGACAGCTTTCTCAGAAGGAGGTCGTGCGGCACCTTGACGAAGGCCTTGCTGAAGTCCACGAAGATGATGTCCGTTTCGTGTCCTTTGGTCTTGTCCTTGGTCCAGCATTCAAGCGCAAATAGCAGGTTTGAGAGGCATGTAATGATTGCTCATGAACTATGAACTATTTTGTTTTGTTGAACACGATATCCTTGTATATTCCTAATTTCCGCTTATTACTTGAGAGATTTCATACGCATAATGTTTCTATTAATCCTGATAAATGTGCCTTGCTACGACTAAACTTTCTTGTTTAGGTTATTTAGTTGATGAATCCGGATTCCGTCCTGACCCTAATAGATTTTCTTCGTTGACTAATGCCACGTCTCCCAAGTCCTTCCATGAACTTCGTTCTTTAATTGGTTCTTTACAATACTATTCCAAGTTTATCCATAACTTTTTAACCCAAGCTGCTTTATTTTTCGATTTACAGTCACAGCAAACATTTCGGTGAACTTGGGTCCATGAAAGTGCCTTGAGGAATTTACTTTCCTTTTTATCTTCCAGTGCTGTTTTACGTCCTTTGTCCCCACGATTACATTCCACCGTCATCACGGACGCATCGCCCGTTGGAATTGGAGCTGTGTAGGAGCAGCATGATCATCCGGTGCTGTGCATCTCAAGCAGCCTCACGGCTGCCGAACGTGGGTATTCCCAAACTCAACGACAAGCTCTAGCTGTCTATTGGGCTGTCACGCTTATGCACAAGTATCTTTATGGTACTCATTTCACTATTGTGAGTGATCATGAAGCCCTGCGGTTCATTTACAACCCTCAACGTTCCCTGGCTAAGTCATCTGCGGCCATGGTATAACGATGGAGTATTGCTTTATCCGCCTATTCCTTTGAAATCCATCATCGCAGTGCACAGTCCATTCCACATGCAGACTATCTATCACGCTACGCCATTTCAGAGGAGGCTTCTACGACTGATTTTTTACTCACTCAACCGCTCCCAGTAAGCCGGTCTAATCTAGTTCGCGAGACCAGGAAATATTACCACGCTATCGTTTCCTGTGTCCGTCGAGGTTGGCGAGGTGATATCAAGCGTCGATTTCTGGAATTCTATAAACGTCGTGAAGAAATGTCTGTGACGCATGATGGTTTCTTGTGCTACAACGATCGCATTATCGTATCTCCGATATTACGTACTGCTGTTCTCGATGACTTACATGCCGGTCATCTCGGCATTGAAAAGATGAAATCTCTTGCTCGTCTCACGTGCTGGTGACCTGAATTGAGTCATGATCTGAATCGTGTTGCTAAATCCTGTGCTGAATGTGTACATAAAACTCAAGGACAGGCTTGAAAATGGACTCCGTGGCCAGTATCTTCCGAGTCATGGCAAAGAATACATGTGAATTATTGTGATCCATTCTTCAAC